CTTGTCTGATGATTTAATATGAACATTTTCTCTTGACAATTCATCGAAACTATGAACTTTAAATATTTGATTTCTTTTCTTGAAAAAAACTACTAAAAACTTCAAATGTGTAAATTTGTAAATAAATTCCTTGTTTTGTTAAATATAACATGTGTTTCCTTGTCATTTTCCCTCAATACTTCAGACCTTATAGGAACCAATGGCCAATACATGCACACACAAAGTTAGTATGGGGTCTTAAGCCTTGAATGGCAACTATCCTAGAGATTGTGTCTTGATAAAAATATTAGGGAACTTTGACTTCTGTGAATGTCTGAGTTGGGTATCAGGAAGTGCATACAGCCTTGTAAAACCTTGTCTCAAATCATTATGTCAAGATCCTCTGTTAGACAGGACCCACCTTGCTTTGTGCAAGATTAGTCCCAGTCCTGCTTCAACAAAAAAATCATAGCTATAATGGTGATGATGATGATGATGATGATGGTAATATAAGCCATTTCCTTATCAGGAAACATTTAGCATTCATTGACTGAGTGGCCAGTGCTGTTGTCGACTGAAATTATCTTTCTATTAAAACAATTTTTCAGGAAAATATATTTCTCAAGAAGAAATGGCAAAATTTCTCAGATCTAATAACTGTTATCACTCTTTCCAGTATTGACAGGAGTCTTCCTTCCTAACCTTTTGGTAGAAGTAGTGTAGAATGTTAACATTTTGAATATGCCATTATTTTCTCTGTGTTATATGCGCTATCCTCTTTAGTTGTTGCTGCTGTTGGCATTCCTTAAGTGATGTGGTTTCTGTTATCTGGTACAGTTCTTTGTGATTCTGTTGCACCAGTTCATGAGATTTTAAAATTGATGATCCTCACTGAAACCTCTAATAAGTTTTATTTGCTGAAACCTATTCTTAACAATTTATCTGAAAAATCAGTTGTATCCAACTGACATTTTAGATATTTCTGATTGAGTTTTGCACCATGCATGACATCTGTATAAAAATTTTGATCTGAAAAGGTTATTTAAAAACATGTCTTGAGTTTTTAGGTTAATGTTTTGGTTTTGTAGCAAGTTGCAGTGTTGTGCTAAACTACCCCAAGCACAGCCTACTCTATGTTCAACTTACTTATCTCTTATATTAAATTTGTTATAAGTCATCCATACACTGAAGTATTTAGTATTTACTAATTCTACATTGTGAATTTTTATGTTGGATTCATGGCAGGTGCCATCACCGCTTTCATTCCAATTCTAGATCATAGTTTATGTTTTGGAAAAGTTTAGCTTGAGTACTATTTCTTGAAACCCTTGGTTGAGGAGGGTATCTGGACTATGAATACCCATGCCATTGGCACAGCACTGTATCATCAGTACACTGCCTCGAAAAGGAAAGCAGGAATACTGTTTTCTATTAGTAGATTCATTTAGGATGTGGTATGGAATGTTTAAGTGATTAGTGCCCATCTCTTCACATCTGTTCTTGTATATGCACAAAGCAGAGTCTAAGAAGAGATTAAATAGATTAAGGCTTTCATTGCCTCCTTGTCATATTCCTGATGTAGTTTGAAATGTTTTGGGGTATTCACCAGAGATGTACAACTTTGTGGACTGATATAGTTCTATCAGATCTAGTCATCCAGCTGAATTGGATCTTGGAAGACAATTTCTAATAAATGAAAATAAGAAGTCTCTATTGATGAGGTTAACATAGCATGTATACAATTGGAGAGGTATACAATTCTCTGCAGTTGTTTGATGACATATATGCCATCATTACACTTCTTACCAGAATGAAAACCACACTGGGTTGTGAGGAGTTTTCTCATAGAATGGTGAGGGTCTAGTTAGTACAATGTTCATAAGTAATTTTACCATAATGGAATCCAATTGAGATACCTTACTTAATCTCCATGAAAAATTCACAAATATAATTATGAAGGGAGTAGGGTGCTAAAAAGTTCTTAGTCTAATACAATTCCTCAAATTTGATCAAATGATTATTATTTTATTTGGAATCCCTTCTAGGGTGGGCCAAGAACTTTTCAGCACTCCTAATATTCTAATGGTTTTCTAAAGGGTGTTTACTTGGATGATTGTTTAAACAAGGTGCAGCAGAAATACCTACCACATAATGGTAAGACATATTGCTAGATTAAGACACCATTGCCCAATAACTCCCACGTAGACCAGATGGGAAATCTATGGGGGAGGTATTTCTGATGCAAACTGTATAACTACCAGGAACATTTTGAGGATTTGAGCAATGTAAACACATTTAAAAGTATAGAATCTGTGGAAAAACTGCCAAAAGAAGCTACAAAACCAAAGTGGTACTAGCCAAAAATTATTTCTATCTTATATGAAGAAATGTATATGGAAGAAAAATGTTCCTAGAATTTTAAACAATATATGTTGAATTATATTTTTATTTATTTATGGAAAAAAAATGTGTGCTCAAAATATGAGGCAAGCTAAAACACTAAGGGAGGTAATTCAGTATT